CTCAGTGCCTACATGTGTGCCCCTATTAGACTAGAGTAAACTAATTTACCCTGCGCAGAGTAAAAAACTCAGCGATGCATGTTGAGGAGCTGGAGAAGCTGGCTGGGGCATGAAGGTGCTTAAGTGCAGGGGCTACATGCTGGCTAGCTCTATGCTGAAGATCCCTCGTGGCCCAACCAGCCCCTGGTAGAGTAGGTTAGTGCACTCCCCTTATGAATTTGTATGCCGCCACAAGGTCCACTCAGGGGATTCTAAATTCTAGATAGATAGATATCTAGAATATATATATCTAGAATTTAGAATATATATATCTGTCTCCTTGCTGCAATGCTACATCTGACCACCAGCAAGCTTCCAGCCGGAATGGAGCTAAACTATCAAATGGATGGTAAACTGTTTAACCTCAGCTGACTCCCAGCCAAAACCAAGACCACCCTGACCTCAATCGTGTGTGTGTGTGTGTGTGTGTGTGTGTGTGTGTGTTTCTGTATTCTGATATGGAACTATTTCTTGAGTTGCTAATTCCCAGTACAATGTTGTCTTCAATTAGCTATGAAATTATATAAAAAACCACTAATTTATCTTAAATATTTCTTTGTTTAAATTAAAGAATTAAAGTAAGTGCTGTATCATGCCAGAATTCCTCATGTATTGATTGTCTGCTGGGACCCTGAGGATGTGTAAATTGCCACAGCTGCTCTAGTTGCTTAACTGTTTCCATCCAGCATTCAGATGTATTGATTGGTTGGCACTGAGACATGCATGTCTAAGATGAATAATTGGGCACTGTGTTGCCTTTCAGTTGTGTGTCAATATTATCAGATATACTTGCTGTATTTTTTCTTGGCTTGTGTTAAAATGGGGGACTCAAGAGACAAGAATGTATTACAATACATTATTTTGTATTTCTGTGTTAAAGCAATATGGCCTACCAGTCAGTGAGAAGAACAAAATACCATTTATCAGAACATCAGACCTGCCTCACCTCTTGTTTCTTGCTGCTTTTAAATACTAGATTAAGCACTATTAAGAGCCTGCAATTAACAGGTCTCTAATCCTATTGGGTGAGGGAACTGCTGCTGTTACTAAGTTAATTATAGAAGGTCTGAATGATTTCCTTTGGGATTTTTTTTCCCCGAACCGTTGGAATGAGAAGTTTCCTCACATTACCTATACCATTCTAGGATGAAGAAAAACCTTCAAAAATCCCATGCATTAAATAATCATTTATTGCTGTGATTGTGTTCCACAGTCCCTCTTATATTTGTGCTGCCTCCTATCTAGCACCAAGCCAGTTTGTTTGGAGAAAAAAAGATATACTAATATTATGTAAATCAATATGAATTCAGAAAGCAATGAACACTTAAAATTGGTGTGTGTTTACACATACTCTCA